CTTCAAATATATTTGAATTAAGTCGAATATCGAAAATATGTACTATGTTGTAGCGCGCGCAAGATACATTGAAAATCGGATGTAACTTCGGCTGTTTGGTGAGTAGCTCCGTCATGTTAAAACTAATTGTTGCCATTATCGCCACAAAAAATTGTTCTACATCGCTCGACCACTACTTGCTCATTTTTGAAAAAATGGCCTAGTAATTCTTCTGGGCAGTGGCTCGTTTTGGTTGCATCGGGATTTCAAGGTATTCGTTCAGCGGAAGGACAAAACTAATAACCATTCAAATGAGACAAAAGTTAAGTGTTACCATTCACGAAATATGAACTGGTTAAAAAGCATTCGACTGCGGACCCTACATAACTAGTAGACATCTGAAGATTTTCTAATGACATCTGTTAAAAGCTACAACATAAACACACATTTTCGTAACAAATATTTTCAATTGAGTTTTGGGCTGAGACGTAATTTTTTGGCATTCAAAATATACTGGCAATAAGCCATTGAAGTTTATGGAACATAACAATGCTGTGTTTTAGTACCCCAAGGTACCTGAATAACAAATATCTCGAATTGTTGTAGAGCAATTATAAGATTTCTATGAGGTGTATAACTAAGGAAACGATGAAGTCTCCAACAGCTTATTTTTAATAGAGCTTCAAATAAATTAAAAGCACACGATTAGTTTAGGTGTCGAGTAAGCAATCGCTCTGACTGACTTTTTCTTGTCTACACATATAATTATGTCATAATTATACGAAATTTGTAAATGTGTTTACAACGAATTTGAATCCATTTGATAAACATTCGGAATGGTTTGCTGGTTTCCAAATCATAAGCGCCAATGGAAACGGAAATTCAACCACCCACCAAGGGGTATCTATATTTGAACACTAAGCACCCAAAAGAAGAGTGCACGGCACACACGCCAGACGGACGAGCCCTTGTTAGACGTCGACTCTTTCATTTTCATATTTTTTTGCATTCCACTTCTTCACCACCATCACCATCATCATCATCCTCGTCGTCGTCGTCCTCATCATTTGAAAAAACGTCTATGTTTGGGTTCGACAAAGGCTGTGTCGTCATCTCGGTTGTTTTTGTAGTTATTGCAGATGTTCGCCTTTTCATTTGTGTTTTTTTTTTGTTATTCGTTAGACAAGGCCACCCTTTTTGGAAGGCTTACCCGAGATAGACAGTCGTCAGTTAGGCAGACAGAAGAACACATTCAAAGGAAACTCTCGCTTGTGCTGGTCTTGAATTTGCAACATTTTTTCTGCCACAACTATTACAATATACACCGGGGACATTACTGCCGTTTTTGGCATGATGCAAATCTGTGACATGGGACGGAAACTTAACATACCCCTCTTTTCATGCGGCCACAAATGCCACAACTTGAAACGAATTCGAAATTCCGAGTAGAAACTATCACGCCAATGCAACGATTGTCGCCTTGCCAGCATTCTCCATTCACATCGCATCGCAAAAATCGAAGTTATTCCAAAAGGAAACAAACAACTGCAGCTCACAAAAAGAGGCAGCAGAAAAATTACAACTAAGGAAAATTGCAATTTCGTTGAGTACTTACGATGCTCCTGCCCCGATTTGCCCAGGCCCATGTTGTGCCTTCCTTCGTCTTGTGCGACATTCCCATTTCCTTCAAAACATTGTTCTGCATCTACTTCAAGAAGAACGACTAATGAATTTCTTCGACGTAATGTTTGAGTCCAAGTTGGAGAATTCAACTCCCCCCCCGTCAATTATGTTGGGATGCTGGATAGATGATGCCGGTGGTGGTGGGAGCGTGAAGGAAACAATTAGTGTATCGCATCTTAGAATGAGCAGAATCTTATTTCCATTCTGCTGTGCATTCAGTCTTAAAGATTCGTCCATAAAGAGAAAGAGAGATGGAGAGGTATGAATGCGCCAGACCTGTGTTTAAATAACAACGACTTTCATGAACTTCAGTGCTTCTAATCGAAACTAATGAATTAAATGAAAAGCAGGAAACTCAATAGGCAAATATTTTTGAAATATATGTTTCCCATCGCAGATGCACTTAGGTTAGCCAAGAAGGAAAAACACGACACATCAACGGAAATTTCCAAATGTTTGAATTGGGATTTTCTAAAACTGACATTTTAGCATTTTAAGAGAATTGTTAATAATTTATTATGACTTATTGTTGCGCAAACAAATACATATATTTACATATCGAAGATATCCAAAATGGGAATGCAGTAGATTGTAATCGTAATTACGAGTATAAGCTCTTTACAGCGAAAAAACAAGGCTACCCATGTTGCAACACGATGTTTTGATATATGAAGTTAAGCGCTTAGACACTCTCCCCAAATGAGACATGCTTATTAGGTAGACTACTTTGAAGAACATAAAAATAAAAAAAATTAAAATACCTTCAGGACTTCCAATTGCCTAGGCTACATTCTAATCCCGATGCATCAATACCAGAGGATAAACCCTGGACCTACGCTCGATCAGTTTTTAGTTGATGCAGCCATTCTCCGTGGAATGGACGGAGAGTCGGTCGTGAAACTTTTGCGACAAACACTTACTGAAATTTATGCCGGTTCGGTTTCTGACTCGTCCTATATACCAAAGTCAATCGGTAGAACGGTTACCAGGACATTAGCGAGTAGTGGTGGTCCAAAGACAAAACCTAGTCTTGGTGATTACGGCGGCAAAGATGGCCTGTTAGAAATTTTGTCGTATACGACATACTTTTCCAACGTATCATACAGACGTCGAAGAAATCGTAGACCTTGACAAATAATAAGAGTTTTTGACAGAAACGTGGTGATTGAATTTTTGTCAAGCTTATAAGAATTGGTAATGCTCGCGCGTCTATCATAAGAAAAATCATTCCATACATTTCATAAGCAGCAGTCTTCTGTTTGGTTGCCGGGAGTAAAGCTTGAACGTCAATTGAATGTCAAATGAAAAAGTTGTGTAAAGAAAATCCTTTTCATTGTAGAAGTTTATGACGTTTTATACTTTATGTACGTTTTATGCTGGTATATAACTTTTTGGCGTTTGCAGCTTTTCGACAGGCAAAAACCTAGAAAAACTGTCAATCGGACCATCTCTGGACGGCGAAGACAATTAATTCGGCAGCATCAGTGCGACGCATCAATATTCCCCATAGTGTTCCGGATGAATGGAAGGTTGTAGAGTATGATACAACTGAGAGAACCACCACCAACAAATTGCCTCCACCTACAACCCAACGTAGTGCCTTCCGAGGCAACTTCCACACTATTACCCGAAGACTTGCACAATGGAACACTGGCTGACGAAGTTCTCATGAAGAAGCTATCATCTGATTTCCAGTCAAAACGTGGAGTCGCGAACACAAGCTCATGCATCCAAATATTTGCAAGAAGGTTCTTCGATTTCAACGCTATTAAAATATCATTTATCAAATCACAGCGGTGAGTACGTGTGTGGCAAGTGATTAGTTACTCCTAAGGTTGTACAGAGAGTGGATGCCCTGCTACAAAAGTAAATGTAATTATAAAACACCGAACTTTTAATATCCTCCCTCACTGGGAGGGAGAAGAAAATTATATAAAAGTATCTGAATTCAAACGTATTCCACTCTAGACTACAAATATCAGTAATCCAGTTGAACCTTTCCCTTAAGTGGGTGAGGCCACTATATGGGGCCATACCAAAAGTGGAATCTATATAGACACTTTTATTCTACAACGATTCGTATCGAGTCTTAAATGTCAAATTTGAAACAATTTCGTGGGTTAATGTGACTAGGATTGTCAAAATACCGAATATTGGTGATTAACGTTATATGTGCGCTATAGGAAAACGTGCACCTAGATATTCAATGTTCTGCCTCTGAAGCTAGAACCCATTTTTGAACTACAAATACCAATTTTTAGACAAAGATGTGGCAAAAATCATCAAAATACCGAATATCGGTATTCAATACCAACCATCATAGAAAAAATACAACTTTTTGTGCCAAATTTTGAAGCTCCAAGTAAAAAGTTGTGACTTCAACAGGGTCTACGACGAATATTACAACCGGAATAAACAACGCTCATATACCCTGAGGTGGAGGGTATAATCAAACGTCCGTGGTAGGGTAGGCGATGGGGAAACTGCATGGACAATTGTGAATTGCACAAACACGGTGATGGATGCCCTATTGAGTCGTGGCTCAAAGGAAAGCTCTCGATGAGTACTTAATATATGTTCATTTTTCAACAACTTGGTAAAATTAATTAAAATTGTAAAAAATCTATTATTCAATTAACCCGTTGTTCACCAACACAAATTGCAAGTGGTGGTACGGACATGATAAATTACGTTCAGCATATTCATTGAAACAGAGTCCCTGTTATTCTGAAAAACTTGAAAACATCAAGACTCGCATTTATTTTTGTATATAACACTACGTACCTCGAAGTAATTGGTGTAAAGAGAAAGATGTAAACCTCTGTTCATTACAAAAATAAGTTTGTGAGATCGCGTTGTTATACAAACACATATAATTGGATGTTTTTATCTATTCGAGATCGGTATAGCCGTTGCACCATTGCATAACAAGACTAATTTTTCAGGTAATTGCACACACGCAGATGGCAAATGTAATATCGTCCAATATTAAGAAGTATTAAACTGGCAAAGAATAAATTTATAGAGTGATTTAGCTACAAACAAATCTAATATTTTCGATATTAAAAATAAATTATTTTTTTGAATTTAACAAGTATCATAAAACTTGGAATTTTATGGGATTGATACAATTAAATTCATTTTATATTGAAAAAATAAATATTGAATATAACAAGACGATTGACTGCAAAAAATGCAATTTCGGCAGTAGAGATTTGTCCTCGTCTGGTTTGTGTAAATGGAGATACTTAATTCTTTATTACTAAACTTGTTACTCATTTAGCACTTACCTGCTATCATCGGCTATAAATATAAGTAAAATTCAAAAAACAAAAATACTTTCTTCCAAATGAACAAATTTGTTCTTTAGTTTTATTTCATAATCTATTCCAAATACAATATTACAATACTAAGAAGCGTTAAAAAAGCATTAGCGCAGCAATAAAAAGCCAATAACAAATTTTACAATTTAATCAAATTTATTAAAAGCTCAGCTGTGTAAAAAAATATAAAACAAATAAAAAAGAACAAACAAACAAAAAACATTGACAAATAATAATTAAAATTTATAAATAAAATATTGCAAAGCGAAAAATTAACTAAAAAGCTAAACACGAGCAGGATAGGTTGTTGTCTTTGCTATTGCCATGAGTGTTCTTGCGGGGATTTGTAGTTTTTTTTTTGTTCTTGGATGCAGTACGGCTCATTTCGGTTGGGGGTTTAGGCCAAATATGTCATGGAAAAAATAGACTAAATTAGTAAAAAAATGTTTTGGTTTCAATGCATAAAAATGTGCCACCAAAAAAAAATTAAAACTAGCATAAGGGCAAGCCTAGTTCTACGCGTATTGAAAGCGAGTGACACACTTATTTGAAATAAAAACGATTAACAATTCAACAGAAAAAACAAAACAAAAACTGTAATACATTTTGTGCAGAAACGTAACGTGTTATTCGAAAACGTAACAAATAAATTAAAAAAATGAAAAATTAAAAAAAATGTGGGTCAAAATCGGGGACACTTATTTAAACTTAAAGGAGGCATTCTTTTTTCTGTTGTTGAGTTTATCTTCCATTATTCTCAAAACAAGATGAACCATAAATGGCGTAGGTTATAACCACCAATAGTTCAAAAATGTATTTTTTACACTTGAGAAGGGGAAAGTTCTGGAAAATTGATTATCATAATTTTTAATTTTTTTTATGAGTCTACACCTATTTCTGTTGTAATCTTAATTCGTAATGTAATCGAATAATTTTAGTTGTAAATCGTAACATTTTATTTGTAATTCGTTATTTTAATTTTATGTATTTTAAAGATAAACGCTATTAAAAATGTTCTCATTCCATTTTTAATGAATATAAATTTGATTACATTTCCAATTCCAATTGGAATTTTCGAATTACAATTTGAACGATTCGAATTACCTCTGTAAAAGATGTAGATATTTTGCAATTTTTAATTACTAATACAAAGAAAGTATTCCGAAAACGATTATTTTATTTGCGGACCTCGAATGGGCTTATATGTGGATATGTGTCGAAAGCCATTATTTTTTACTCTTAATGGTGCGGGATACAGAAAGGAATGGATTCTTTTGACAAATGTGCGATTATAATTTATTTTTAAGGTATCCTGTCATTTTTGTCTTTTTGGACTACTACTCAGAGAGAATATTTAAAATCTTTACTTACCAAATTGTCGAAGCGCAACGCTTCTTCGTCACTTAAGCCCATGCTGCGCGTCAGCTGTAGATATGTCGATGTAATCGGCTTGAGTCGCTCGAAATCCAATGGCGGCAGTCCCGATATCGAGCGTATCTGAGGAATTCGCAGAGAGGGCAACAGTGTCGACTTGGGAGGACTCACAGTCTCCTGTTTAATGGAAGTAGGTGTCGATGTGGCCGGTCGTATTTCCTGCGACGAAGTTGGACGATGTGGCGTGCAGCTTCCGGATCCAATCTTTTCTTCGGCACTGAAATGAGAAGAATTTTTCGAAAGATTAATTGCACGAATTTGGGTAGTTTGGACAAAGTCGTCAGCAACGGCTGTTATGGGACAGGATGATAATTCTAATGTTTTTGTTCTGTCCGAACTCTCGCAAGAGATTTTGAAACGTTTGGCTTTCACCGCACTAATGTTGTCCGGGTCCTCGTCGGAAGATGAAGAAGTGAACATTTCAGGAATTCGATCTGCCGTTGGTTGTTTAGTCGTCGGCAGGGACGAAGCTTTCGAGCTGACGGGTTTAAGGTATTTTTTCGACAATTCTTTGGGGAAAGTGGGCGGCGCTATAAATGAATGGGGCATTGCCAGATTTCCTGAGTACAAACGACGCATGAAATCGTAATAGCGCATCATATTGCCACGCGATTTAAGCGAATGATAATCAAAGCTATAACCGGAATGACAAGGTTGAGCAAAGATCGAACTTTCTGAAAGTGTGGGCGGTGTATATGGTCTCTGCAAATTGGGATTTACACGGATTTTTGGTTTGTGAGCTTGTGGCGCTAAGATGGGCCTAGACGTTGCGTCTAAAACTGGACTTGAACTTGCCCTAGTCGAGAGGCGCCGATTAGAATCACTTGGCTCGGAGCCAGAACCAAAAACCTTAGAATTATTATCCGGACTTGAATATCTGCGTTTTTTGGGTTGTAATTTAACTGGGTTTGGTAAAACACCAGTTGACAAAGAAGTTTTTGTTGACGTTTTTGTAGTTGGACCCGCTTCCATGGAGCTTTCCGTGTGCGAAGAATAATTGAGGACTTCAACTTCGGATGAACTTTCGTTTTGTATGACCCCCGCTATGTCTTCTTTGGCATGAGAAGTTGTGGGAGAAGAAGGTCTTAAGTTCTTCTTGCACTCTGGGCATATGGAGAGGAAGCGTGTGACAGCTTCTCGAGGTAAGAAAGCATAGGTCTCGGAGATCTGAAAATAGATTGAAAAAAGTTGAATGCTCCTGATTTCTTGTGCGTGTGTGTGTGCGATTATTGAACTCACAATTCGGTAGGTTCGTTTTTGTCCAGCGTGCATACCACTTCTACCTCCCAATTCCATATGAATTTGGTAAATTATGTCAAAGAACTCCTCGACTACGGCGACTTTGCGGTAGGTCCGTTTATCCAAATCCTGAAAGATAAATTTGGCACGTTAATTAGGCAAAGCAAAAGTGGCTTATTTCAACATACCTTTGTTGTGGAAGCTACATAGAGGTCAACATCGGCTGGATTTTCGGACAGCACCGCATCGGGTGGTAACACTTTCTTTTGGCGTTGAGTACAGGGTGCATCCTCAAAACTTTCGGGTCGTTTAGTTGTAAAACCTAAAGGAATCATGACCATTAATATAATCGATAGTAGACTGGGGGAAGTTATGTCCTACCTTTGGTCTTTACCCAAAAACGAAACTTTGAACTATCCGGACGACTATGCTCCTTACCTTCCAAAGCTTTTAAGATTCGAACTTTTTTTCTCATTGTAATTGTTTTTGTTTTCGCCAAATCACCGTAAGTCTTCAATGCCCAGGGCTGAAAGAGCTGAGGATGAAAAAAAATCACATTTATTCTACTACATTCAAATGTATATAAATTTTAAATTGAAAAAAAATCCCAAACAATTCGTAGATTGTTCGTTGCCCAAAATATGGCTTTAACCCTAAAAGAGATCAACTTGTTTTGAAATATCTAGTCTCGTTGATTTTTGGCTCTGGAATTTTGAGTTTAAGTGTATTTTTCCATGACCAGTTAAATATTTGTTTCATTGGAAATTTATTTTTAATGAACATTCACACTTTTGTCACCATTTATGCAGTTTTTAGTAAGTATTCTATAATACAGAGGACATAAAGAAATGTTCGAAATGCCCCTATAAAATTTTAGAATTAATGTTCGTGAATGGCGGCAGATATATAGACTCTTTCAAACTGAGTGCCTATTGTAATGTGGTATGCCGATTTCAACTTCTTGGATAATCGATATACGTATTTATACCCGACACCACACTGCAGGGTATAATGTCTTTGTGCATTTTTCTTGTAACGGACAAAGGGAAACAAGATGGACTCATAGTTCCTTTTGATGACCTTCATAAAATCAAATTCTGAGCCGATTTATCCACGTCCGCACGCATGCCTGTCCATGTATTTTTGGATTGCGATGAAACATACATTCGACCGAATTTAGTCTGTAAGTAAGTTTGTTAAATTTGGTGAACATCGGTTAAGATATAGCTATAGCTCCCATATATATGTTTCGTCCGATTTGGTGCTTAAGTCCCTCACTTTCGTAATATGTACTCTACGACAATGATATTTGGTATCAGATGCAGCTCAGGAATACCTCTGCCAAATTTTATCGAGATCGATCCAGATTTGGATATAGCTCCCACATTCTAATTATATTGTTCGCCAAATGTATAATATTATCCCAAATGGGATGCTAAATTTCATTCGATTTTATATCTAAGTCACCCAAGTCCGTAGTCACCCAAAGGAGCCTTAAAGCCTTTTCACAATAACTTGATAATAATAAATAGTAAATGGTTACAAATTTATGAGCCAAACAAGTCTGAAAATTCAAAAGAAGTAAAATTTTACAAGTTCTTAAACAAAGCCATATCTAATTTGCTATATTTTGTTAAAGTGTTCGATTTTTTTTAACTTACCTGATATATGTGCATTTTGTCCTCGAGAATTTTCTCACTTGCACCGGGACCTTCAATTTCCTGCTCCATATTAGCCACGGGTTCAACAACATTTCGAGCTAACAAATCATCATCAACGTCAGCATCATAGGCATTGTCAGCACTTTCTGCCTCGATCTTTTCATGCCGCTGTTCCAGCTCAAGCTCTGTCTCTTGTTGTTCCTCAATGGGATACAATTTACGATCGGTGTCGGGCGCAGCATTGTCTGAACCAAAAGGCTGATTAAATAGTTTGGGGTATGCCGTTTGGAAATCAGAATGCCCCGCCGACAGATCATGTTGTGGTTGACATGATTCCGACATTTCATTATTTCCATTGGAGTTGTTGGTTGCACCCGAGCGGCTGGAGCTTTTTTCATAACTATTTCGATTTGAAGACATTTTGGGGAAAATTCAATAGATTTAGATTTGTCAAATGGATCGTTTGGAATTTGGAAATTTATGTAATTCTGGTCGGATCCATACAAAACTGAAAAAAAAAACAACGAAGAAATGTTAATTTGATAATTTCTTCATGAATGTAAAGCTGTAAAGATGTATCGAATGTTGGCCCAAAACTTTAAGCGGAATATAATGTCAAAATGCAGTCTGTAGCGATATCTGTAGTTAACATTGCACAATAGTCAAATTTTTTTCAACAATTTTGAACGATCTAACTAGGAAGGAAACTAATATAAATTTTCAGTCTCAATAGTTGCATTCTCTCCACATAATTATTTTAGATCCAATTTCCTTGTAGGTATTTCTAGTTTTGTCACAGGTTACTTAAATTGGGCAGAACCGGAACTTTCTTTTTTTAGTTTAAAAGTATGTAGAAAACTCCATCTTAGCGATACATCGACATAGAAGCCTAAAATTATGCACATATGTGTATTTTGCAGTAGACAGAATAAGTTCGTAAAAGGATCATGTCGGCTCACAGTCTCGTATAGCACCTATATAACGGTACCTCTCAATATTAGGTATTTTAATGATTTTAGCAACATTATAGACCGGAATTCTATGCAGGTCCACGTCTTCGTATAGCTCCCATATAACGGTTTTCATTTAGCCACTATTTTTCGATGAAATATTTTTAAAAAATTTCAAGTTCCTTCCTAATGGCACGGCCCTGCTGAACTTAAGTGATTTTTACTTGTTAAAAATGTTACTGAATTTTGTATGTGCTTCTTTCCATTTGCAATCAATCTATTAGTCAATCACGAAGGAAATTGTGCAGCATTGTTTCATTTAATAGTTTCGATACGAAATTGTCTTTTTTAAGTACAAGTATTTCGATCTCATATCGAAAAATATAAATTGAAGTTCCTCAATTTTACAATTCTTCCGTCACCGTCACCGTCACCGTCTTCCGTCAGCTGCAGTGGCGGCTTAGCTGTTATCATGCCATATCCGTTGCACTATTAATTAATCTTATTTTTTTCGCATGGACAATTTTAGAGGTCAATCACTGAAACGCAGACAAACACATTTTCCTCAGATACACCAAAAAAGTTAATTTATTTCGTTAATTTTGCCAACATTTCGATTTAAAAAAAAATACTCATTTTTCAATACTAACACTCAACAAAAACTTGTTAACAAATCTAACAAATTCTGAAAAACAAAAACTTAACAAAAACAATTAACAAAAGTAAAATCAAGTCCTTTCAAGAGTCAATCAATATTTTTTGGGATTTCATTAAAATTCACGAAAAAAAGGAATAAAATTATCCGAAAAGCGCGCGCTGTTCCACGAGAGCGGAGTGTAATGAACCCACGGACACTAAAGTGATAACTGATCGTAAGTGACCAACTGGATGGCCATACCAGCGGACGAACAAAAGCTCAACGATCGCATCGTCATCCAAAAATTAATGTTTTTCTTCTTCAGGGGCAAGATAGTTTCCTTACAATGTATGTGTCAGTGTAGTGGTGGCTATCGGAGAGATGACAAAGGGAAAGGGTTATTTTTAATGTCGCCTCGCAAGGAGAACAAGTTTGGCTATCTCATGTACGAATAGTAGCTCCCAGCCACAAACAATGTTGCTCTTTCTAAGCAAATCACGTGCCTACCTCAATGGGGTGTTTTGCAGACAGCCAACAGTGTGTGCCCTACTGTCATCATTGTCCACTCACATATCCTTCATTGTAGGTTAAGGGTGTCCTTCGTTGTGTCTTCAGCTTCCTTAAATGGGTTGGCCTAAGATGTTCCCGTCTCCGTGTTTTAATAATGCTTTGAAAATACCAAATTTGCCGACGTCTAAGAAGTTGGATATTTTTTCGGCGTTCCCTAAATTATTTTTTATTTTGGGGTGGATTGCAACATTGTTGTTCAGGTAAGAGGAATTGTTGGAATTGATTGGCCGTTCTTTGGGTATCTATCTTAGAGTTATATAACATCAAACCATTAGAAGTAAATACATATGTATATGTATGGTGGCATACGACCACCATTATGTATATCTTCGATCATGGTTAGTCCAATAAGAATGCGTGTGTGTATGGTTGCTGCCAAAAGTCAGGACTATTAAGGATAGCCATGGACGACCCAGTCGCGTAATTAAATTGACGGTTATAGAAAAATACAAGTTTTCTAAAGCCATAGTTTCAAAAGCAAAGATGATTTAAAAAGATTACGAATGGCGAACTTTTTATGTATTCGAACATGTCCGAATAAAGTCAAAGCACTTAAGGGGGGCTCTGCTCGACCTTGGGGCAGAATACAAAAACTTTCAATGATCACAACTTTCTTTCTATTAGAGTCATTATTTCAATACCATCTTTCCTAAGAGAACAAATATAGCAAACTCTAAAAATGATTATGTGAATAGGTGCTACTTTTGAAAAGTCTCTCATTTCCGATACAAATCATGCTCACTTTTGAACTGTTTAGTGATATGCATGCCTGTTGTAATTTAGCGATTAAAAATGCGTTAAGTTTGACAGGGACAAACAACGTTTACCATGAGGGAAACATACTTCAGAGCTTAACATCTGAAGACAATCGGAGCAGCTTAGCTGTAATTTTTGCCTTCTTATAGATACATCACCCCTTTTAAGTTGTATCCACTAGAACCCTAAATAACGGTCAAATCTGTTGGAAATTGTGGCTGAAGTTTTCATAATTCCGATTATGAAATTTCAACGAGTTGGACAGGCAAAGAATATAAAGTTATAGACACAAAATTAAATTGAATCAATTCAAAGTTAAGATGTATAAGAATCGCATTTTTGTGGTCACAACTCCGTCCAGGAGTTGCGATGTTATGCTAAAGGCAAATTGTTATACCCTCACCGTTTGTATGGTGCAGAGAGTGTACACATAAAGTTTTTAGACCTCATGCCTAATTGTTCGAAGTCCGTTTCGGAACATTGGGGGGCGTTCTAGTCATGTCCGTCGCCTGACACGGACAAAAACTCTGAAAGTGAGTATCCGATTTGGTCTAGAAATGGCAAATCGTAATATTCTTGTCAAACATTGATATATAGGCCCTATTCAAGTTCATACCCTTCCAATACTTCTTGAAACTCCCAACGAAAAGTGAACACTTCCCATTCGCACTGCTTATACACCCCTTCACAAACAATTAATTAATAAAATCAATTACATCAATTAATTACAAATCGAACGAATTATCTGAATTGGTTGAAATGTCGCCCATGATAGTATTTATATCAGGCTTAGATCGGGGGCCAAAGCCAACAACATTGGCCCACTTTTAAATCAGAGGTATTTTTACCGAATAAACATTTTTCGAAAAAAAGTCGTTACATTTTTTCCCATCTTTCGTGGTCATTTGGGGTCACTCGTTTCCCTTTGTTTTTCATTTGGGAAACCTTTCGGAGGTATTGAAATGGATTTGAAGAAAATGTTCTCACACTTTAGCATCATTAGTTAGGATACCAACATCTTCCGCCACGAAGCATCCGGACAAGAAAAACAGGATAATTTTATAAATTTTTTAGTGAACTTTCACATAGAATTTTCAACACCCAGTGTTGAATGGTCACTCTTTCAACCCAAAAAGATCCTGATTTCTCGAATAAAACACATTTCTTATAAAAATCACAGAAAATCCAGTTTTGAACAACTGGACACCCCATACCGGCAAGCAGCATCACTGATCTATGGCATGGAGCGAATAAAGGAAACCCACCACCCTTTTTTGTGTTTTGTTGGTGTCCAAGGAATCGCTGTTTCTGGCTAAAGGGTTTTCAATGAACTTTGACATGTCTTCGAATTTGGAAGACGTGTGAGATAAACAACCCTTTTTCGCCAGCCACCGAAACTGGTTTTCAGTGGTCATCTTTGGTCAGTTCTGACGTGGATATTCCAAGAATGCTTAACTGATGCTGCATGTCTAAGCACCCGTAGCTTCTTATTTTGTCCTTTTTATTTCGCAGATAATGTCCAGTTTTGATGTGATTTTTTAACGGACTTTCTTGCATACACACATGCATAAGAATCCATTTGGCATCTTGGCGAGATGCTGCATCATTTGCGTTGTTCTGGGCGGCCAGACAAATGCGACATTGTTGCAGACGATTGGAGTAAAAACTAGTTAGGAAATTTCCAAAATTTCTTGGCCATAGTGGCAGATGTAAAACAAAGAAACAATAGTTCCCGGAATGTGTTTGGCCACTACGTATTTAGGTTTACAATATTTGCCATTCTCAATGTTTTCCATGTCCAAACTTGAACTCCCATATAATTTTCAAAAATTTTCCAAATTTCCTTGGTAGATTTGGAAAGCAATTTATTGGTATTACGAAAGAAATTCGTACTCTTTTATTTCAAATGGCCCAAGTTCATTTGTTTGCCATTTATAATTTAAATCATTACAAGGCTAAACAAAATCATTAAATTTAACATTTTTCAATGTAATTTTTTGAGTTCCCATTTTATTTCTAATGACATTCAGACGTTGAAATTTCTACAGCAGTTTATCGTTCCCAATTTCCAATTTGTGTGTTTAGTCCATATTTGTACATCGTACTCAGACATGCATTGATTTTTTGCCCCGTTGATTCTGCTGATGTATATTTTTTCTCATTTTTCCTTAAATTAGAAGGAATTCCTAATTACATGTCCAGTGGAAGACCACTGCAATCGGAATATGATGATGGAATAGCCGTATTCTGGGTTTCAGTTCATCAAACATTAATTAGAGCAATAAGCTGACTTTAAGCAATCTATTAAACACTCAAAAAATTAAAAGAAAAATATTTGAGAAGATGGAGAAAGAGAGAGTTGTAAAAAAATTACTTGATTTGCTGATTTTTTAATAATCGATATTTCAATAAAGAACACAAAGACTAAATCTTAAGTAAAGTTTTTAAAAATCGTCTCTTTCTTTCCAAGTTAGCTATTTAAAGGGTGGATCTAATCCTTGGCTTTTTAAGACAAAGTTCTTTAGGAATTAAAACATTCACATTCTATTCAGGAATCGGAATAAATTGTAACTTGTTCAAAATATGCCAGTTTTAAATACAGCACCTCTCTTTCAAATTTTTTGTATCACTGAATCTTCGATTTATTTAACTTCTCTATGCCTAAAGGATAATTTTTCATTTAAAAACTGCGAATGTTTCAAACGAAATTTGAAGTAAATTTTTATTGATTTGCCATCAACAAATAATCTGAGCATTTTTTTTGATTATTTTTTTATTTTTGTTGCTGTTTTATTTTTTTTGTTGTTGTTACATCATTCGGCCCATCAATTACTAACCCAATTATATCATTGGCCCAATATCAAAGTCATGTTTTAGTATTGGCATAAAAATGCAACAAAAAAACAACAGCCCAGCAAATGCTCTAAAATTAATTTATTTTTAGTAAAAACTCATTTAATTAGTGAAAAGTTCGTTCGGCAGCAGCGGCAGTGGCGACGGCGGCGACAATGACGACGGGTGCAGTGGAAGATTAAATGGTGGTCGTCGCCTGTCGGTGGGTGACGGGGTGCACGGATCGGATGGTTAATAAGGATGTCGCTACAAGAAGGATGGAACGCTGTCACGTTAATTGCATGCATACATACATTATTAATCAGCTCTAGATTTCTGTCCCATCCAGCAGCCATATGCTGTTCTTTGGAGCAATCTGCGCGGAGCCAGAGAGCCGGGAGGTGTCGCCTTTATGGGAAGGGGGACCACCGTTACAGTCGCATCAAAGCGGGACCTTTGTTGTTACCTCTGCCGATATTCGTTGGTGTTTCGGGATCTGACCAACACAGACGCAACAAAACGTCCGCCAAAGCTAAGTATGGTAGCATTATTGTTGCCTCATTTTTGAAGGAGGTCTTTTCCGTTTTATTTTTTGTTCCGTTACCTCGTTGGGTTACATTCACCGCTGTTGTTGTTGTCGTCGTTGTTGTTATTGCATTCTGGATGGTTGCATCCATTTTTTGTTTGCCAAGAATCGCAGTTAAAAAATGTGTTGGTGGCCGTATGGCAAGCGTGTGCGTGTCTGTCTGTCAGTCTGTCTCTCTATGTGTGTGTGTGTGGCCGTGGAAATGCTGAACAGTGAAAGCTATGGTTTTACTGTTTTTTTGCATACGCATTTAAGTATCAGTGCATCTCTTTTTCGTTTTGGTCATTTTTTCGCGTTTCACAGCAACAACAATAACAGCGATAGCGGCAGCCACGTCAATACCAATGGAAACTTACGCACAAACTCCCCGACACACATGACACACGCACAAGGCCTCCAATAATACGCACCCGACAAATGAGTAACTGGCGCTGGTGTTGAAGTCGATGCAGCTAAGAACGA